TCGGTGATGGAACTATCCTGTATCTTGACTGGTGGTGGTTACAAATATGTATTACCTTTGTCAAAATTCAACAAACTGTACAATTAAAATGTGCATATTTTATTGTTTGTAAAATATACTTCAATGAAGTTGATTTCAAAAGAAAAAAAAAATCCAAGAAAGTATCATTGTCTGTAACAGCAATAAAAAATTGGTAAGAACTTAGATGCTCAAGAAAATGAGTAGTGACTCATCATATAGTCACAAAGTGGATAGCCATATAGCACAAAAATGAATGCACTACATAGAACATACGCATCAGCATAGACAAAACTCACAAACAAGATTGAAAAATGCAGGTCACAAAATAATACATGTAGTACAATGCTATTTAAAATTTAATCACATGGAAAACAATTCCATACATTGCTCAAAGATCCATACCTATGTGATAAAAGCATAAATAAAAGCATGGGAATGGTAGACACCAAATCCAGGAGCATAATCACCTCTTGGGGGAAGGGAGGCAGGCAGGAAATAGTACACAGAGGGCTTCAAACTGGATTAACAAATTTTTTATTTCTTATACTTAGTGGAAAGAACATGGGTAGTCCTTGTATTATTCTTTTTATCTTTTCATGTGTCTTAAAGATTGTATAATAAAACAAACAGCAAACCAATTGAAAACCTTAGCCAAAAAGGGGGCTATAGAGCGTAGCTGCAACAATGGGCTAAAATATAGGAAAGACTTTGAGGATGTTACGGGACCGGGAAACGTTTGATTCTGTTATACATAAGGTCACTATGAGTCAGAGTGGACTCCATGGCACTTAACATCAACAACAGAGTTGGGGATTCTGGTTGGTTTTTTTAAGATATTCAACATGGTCCCAATTTGTCCAATGATTTGATGTGACACGTGGCAGAAGTATTTCTTCTCTCCGAAACACACAGGCCTAACAGTGGAACAGAGGGAAAACAATCTGGCTTCAGCAACAAATTAGAGGCCGGGAGAGGCATCCAGATTTGAGCTAAAAGCAAGTCCACAATCTTCCTTTGTTTCTGCACCGGCGGCGAGGTGGCTGCCGAAGCCAGGCGAGGGGAGAGGGAAGTAAGGAGGGGAGGAAACGTGGGTGGCTGAGTCCACTCGCGGTCTCAGCAGGAGGCAGGAGAGAAAGGTGAGAGCGGGGTCGCCACGAGCGCTCCGGCGCATCCAGAGCTTAGGAAACCTCCTCCAACGGCAATGGAGGCCGTCACAGCAGCAGAAAGGGCCGCTCCTGTGGAGACATGCATCAGGTGTTAGTCTCAGTGAAGGGGCTTTTCTTTCCCCACGCTTTTCGCTTCTCGAGGGTACGGTGCTGGAGCTGAGAGCTAGTTGGTGCCCGGAGCAAGGTTGCTGAAGTCTAGAGGGCACGAGCTTTGGAGCCAAACAGGAAGTGCTTCCAGTTTTGGCTTGCTCACCACATGCCAGGGATTAAGCTTTTCCAGAGAAATCTTAGCTTCTGCCCTAAAGCACAGAGAGGGAAACTGATCTAAAGTCCCTGCCTAAGAGCAGGTGACTTTACTACTGTATAACCTCGAACAAGTTAACTAACCTCTTTGGGTCTCAGTTCTCCTCTCCATAAAGTGGGTGCCTAATTGTATGTGCATGTGACTATCTGGAAGACTCTATACCAAAGTTACTAATAGATCTTTCTGTGTGGCGAGATTATGGGTGCCATTTATTTGTTTGCGTGTTTGTTTAGCTGTAATTTCTAATGGGTTGGTGTTTTACAGTAAGTATGTAAATATTTTGTAACTTGAAAATTTTTCAACATGGAGAGAGTAATACTGCACAAGGTTGTTGTAAGAATTAAAGGAGATAATGAAAGCATACAGCACAGTTTCTAGTTTCCAGTGTGTGCTCTATACGTGTCAGTTCTCCCTAACTACCCTTTTCCTCCTATACTCTTTGCCTTCTAGTCCCCCAAACCTCATTTGGAAAGGGAGAAGAAAGTAATTCAGGACTCTGATTAGTTACTGGCTTTTGGGTAAATAACTTAAACACCCTGAGTATACCTTATCTATAAGTGTATCTGTATGATCTGTAAGAATTCCCAGGTGTATAGTAGAGCTGACAAGGGGCAAGGTTGTGGTCACTGCTTAGTCACAGCCAGCTACCCAGAGGGACCAAGTTGTTGAACCTGTGGGCTTGGGATAGTCACAGGGGACATCAAGCTCAACTGGCATAATATACTATACAAAACATTGTTCCACCTCCTACTTTGGTGAGTAGTAAACTGGGATCTTAAAAGCTAGCTAGCAAGCTGCCATCTAGATGCAACGATGGGTCTCTCCTCATCCAGAGCAAAGAAGAATGAAGAAAACCAAAATTCATGGAAACAATTAGTCCTAGCAACTGGTACACCATCCGATCTGCAGCCTATATGACTATGAGACCAGAAGAACTAGGTGTTGCCCGGCTACCACTGTCATCCACTTGGAAGGGGATCTATGTAGGAGACCCTTGATAGAGAGGGAGAACAATGTGGAACAAAACTCAGAATCATTTGGAGGGAAAAAAAAGGGGGAGACCAGGTTTGCTGGTCCTATAGAGCCTGGTGGAACCACTGAGGTTATGGCCCCTAGCTGCCCTTCAGGTCTGGAATTGAACCCACACCTGTGTTTCTAGCCAAACAGAAGATAGGCATTTGAGTTGAACATTTACCTCAGGTAGATATACTCCTTGGAGAGAACAATCATGTGAGAAAGAAGGGCTGCTTATGTACAGGGAGACAGCTCAGGGGGCAGAAGTGCATGGAGGGATGGACACAGGGAAGAGGTTACTATGGGGAGGAAGTGGGAGGGGAGCTGTTGCATTGTGGTAAACTATGGTCAACGTCATGAGATAAAGTATATGTTAATCTCTGTATGGAAAGTGAATTTGCTCTGTAAATCTTCACCCAAATCACAATAATAGTAATAAAGTATTCTACCACCGAACCACCAATGTCCATCTGATAAAAATGCCAAAGTGTACTAACTCCATTAGAGTATACTATATGGCTCCCAGTTTGCAGGGTTACGCAGGTCTAGGGAAGGATTTTCTGGGGAATTATAGAAATTCCCTCTAGTTTTCTGATTTGATCTCACAATGACCTTTGAGGCAGGTTTCATTATCTTCACCCATCAAAACTCTTCCTTGCTCCTCAGACAGAATAGCCAGAGCCCTCTCTGTGCCCTCAGGCCCTGCATTTGCCTTTTCGCCTCTCTGTCCTATGACCATGTGTCTGTGTGTCTGACTCCCCCTCCATGCTGTGTGTTTCTCAATGGCAGACCCAGATCTGACCTTTCTTAGGGGCCTCAGTGCCTGGATTGTGAGAGTCATGAACAATACAAGATAAGTCCTGCCTGCATAGGATGCTGGGAGGGAACCAGAGTACCTTATTGAGCAAGTGAACTGCACCAAGAAAAAACATATCATCACCTGACTTCATGATAACGTCAACTGAAACCCATTAACTAATATAAAAACCACCCTGTCCATCATAAATTAGACATGTTTTTTCCTTTATCCCCTGCATGTATCCTTGCATTAAGCACTAACTATATAAGCTCACACCCCACACTGCCCTTTCTACCCAGGTGACTCTCAGTGCTTCAGCTCTCTGTCTCAAGAATCTTCATGCCAACCTTTGTTTGTAAGTTCCCTAATAAAGCTAGGTCTGATGGGGTGCAACACTGGTCAGAGGCATGGTACACATCAGCATCTGAGAAGTTGGATTGGATGAAGACAAGGAATCAGAACCAGAGAATTAAAGCCTGGGAACAGGCAGGGCTGGGACCTGAACCCAGATCTCCTAATGCCCATTCTCCTAATGCCCAAATCGCCTAATGCCCATCCCCCACACATCCAAAGCAAGAAGTGGAGGAATTGCTTTGCCCTGGGGTGGGGTTATCATCTGGGACAACCCACGCCTCCACTCCAACAGTCCCCAATCGCCTACTCTGCCACGGACACCCACCACTGCCCTGCACCCCACCCATGCTGGCCAGTGTCCCAGGCCAGTGGTGGGTTGTGAATAGGACAGTGCCTGAGCCAGCTGCTCAGGGAATGGAAGACTCAGTTAAGAAAGCCAGAGGATAAGCACATTTAAGAAGTTCACTGGAATAGAGGTGCTCTGTGGGGCTGCAGGTAGAACAAGCGTTTCAGAACTAACCTGGATCTGGGTTAAAATCCCATATGCGAGTTGAGGAGCCCAGAGAAGTGACTTCTCTCTGCCCCTCAGCTTGTATCTATAAAATGAGTTTGAAAATCTTTGGCCTTCTCTAGGTGTTGTGACAGTTAAGCGAGGTAGTGTGTTCGTTATCCTCGTACGGATCCCACTGTGGGATCTCTGTCTGGTCGCTTGTGTGTCTCCTACATAAGCCTGGATCTCCCCTGAGATTCCTAGGGTACAGCACAGTGCCGACCGTTGGGCAAGTGTTCAATGCAGCCGTGGAAACCACTAACGTGACTTCGAATTCCCGCCCTGCCATTCTGAACTTGTGTGTCTCTGAGCCACAGAACCCTCGTGCATATACCGGAAAAGCAGTGGGGCGAGCGGAGAAGCCCCCCGGCTGGACCCCGGGCTCGGGTCCCCGCCCCTCTCTCAGCATTCCTGCAGCTTCTCCGCCCTCCTTCTACCTCTCCTTTCCCTCCTCCACCTCCCCTCACGCTGCGCCTAGTCCGCGTACCTGGGCGCCTCTCTCCGCCCTCCGATGCTCTACGACTCACAACTGCTGAGTCTCGGTGCCTCTCGCTGAGTTTTCTGTCGCTCCGTATCTTTCTGCATCTTTCTTTGTCTGTCTTTGTCTTCCTGCATATCTCTGCCTCTGTTTCTGTCTCTGCTATCTCAGTCCCTCTTTCTCAGCCTCAGTTCTGTCCGAGTCCGTCCCTCGCTTTCCCTGTCCTCTGTTCACTCCTGGCCTCCGGTGCCCTCCTCCTGCAAGGCCGTCTGGTGGCCCGCGGTGGCGGCGGTGGCGGGCTGGCGCGGGGCGCGATGAGCGGCGCCTGCACTAGCTACGTGAGCGCAGAGCAGGAGATGGTGCGCGGCTTCAGCTGCCCGCGGCCGGGGGGCGAGGCGGCCGCAGTCTTCTGCTGCGGCTTCCGAGACCACAAATACTGCTGCGACGACCCGCACAGCTTCTTCCCCTACGAGCACAGCTACATGTGGTGGCTCAGGTACCAGCTCTATCTCTAACCCCACCCTGAACCCCATTCCAAGCTCAGTCCCCGCATCCTATCCTCAGCCTAGCCCAGTACTAAACCCAAACCCCACTTCAATACTCATTCAAATGACCATTCCAACATCAGTACCCCCCACCCCTCTTACTCCCTCATATTCAATACTGTCCCCAGCTCTTACCCTATCACCAACCCAACCATCCTCTCAAGTGTTAATGCAACCCTATGTCATTCCATTCCTCCATTCTGACCCAGCCATTATCCAAATCCTTACTTGAACCTCACACCAACTTAACCCTAAAACAACCATCACTCCATTCATACTCCTAACTCTACCACTATCCTTAACCCAATCCTATATCTCACACTTACCTCACAGCAAATTACCATCTTCATGGGAAACCCAAAGCCCATCATAACCTTCATCCAATTACCCACCAGGATCCTTGTCCTAATATCAATACTAATCTCATCCCTACCCTTATCCAACCCCCCTCAATACTGATCCCAGTCCTCACTCTATCACCAACCCCAGTCTCCTTAACCTTCTTTGCAACTTCAGCTCAGTTCCATTCCCCAATTCTGACTCCCAACACTTTCCAGACTGATAGCCAAATCTCAACCGCAGACCTTCATCCAATACTATACCTCAACCCAAACTCTATACTTTCCTCTTTATTGTCATTATTTCACCAATTCTTTCTGAGTACTGACCATGTTCCAGGCCCTGTAGTGAGTGCTGGGGTTGTATTTCACCCTTGCATTAAGGCAGGAGACCTGAGGATCAGAGCTGACTCCAAGTTTATCGTAAGTTGATGCCATAATGCCACCCCAGATGCCATCTGAGGCTACATCAATAAAAGTGTAGTTGGGGTGAATCCCCACCTACAGGATCTCAGTTTCGCCACTTGTTCCAGGAAGAGGTTGATTAGATCAGCCCTAACAGTCCTGGTGGCGTAGTGCCTAAGGCATTTGACTGCTAACAAAAAGGGTGGTGGTTCAAACCCACCAGCCACTCCTTGGAAGGAAGGTTGGGCAATCTACTTCTGTAGTGATACCACCTCAGAAACCCAAGGAGGAGTCGTTATGAGTCAGATCCAACTCGATGGCAGTGAGTTAACATTCCTGGAATGTTAAGATCAGCCTAAGTCTGGGGCTGAGAGAGTAACAAATCTTAATACCATTGGGTCTCCAAAGGCTTCACCCAAAAAAACAGGGCTTGATGCTGAACCTGCTCTGGGAAATAAACACAAGCAAAACTGGAGTGGACCTTCTCAGTTAGGTAGTGAACTTCCTGTCCCTGGAGATATGTGAGCAGAAGCCATATATCCTGTAGGTGGGAAAGGAGAGCAGCATATGCTACTAAAACCTCTCTTAGCCTCTCTCTTTTCATCTATCAAATGTGGATGATGATCATCCTGCCCTGATTCCCAAACAGGGCAGTGGCAAGGATCAAATAACAGAAGTGAAATCAACTTGACATATGCAATAACAATTACAAAATAATACTGCTTTTTCTAAACTGCCCCATCTGTAATTCTAAAGGCTTTTCAGAGGGCTTTTTGGATGCATATTTTGTTTATTCACTATTTATTCATATATTCACTTATCCATTCATTATACCCTATGCTTTGAGCCAGGCACCAGGGACAGAGAAATGAATTATTCTCTACCCCTGAGGAGCTCACAGTCCACTAAGAGAGATATGACATGCACCTAAAGTAGAGCATCAGAGTATTTGTTGGAAGACACACTACATGCTTAGCTCTGAGCTGGGTGCTAAATCTGATGGTTCTGACCTCCTTTTGAGGTACAGAGACACTAATGAGTTTTTGGCTAGTCAGAATGGTCCAAACCTTGGCTCCATCAAGCCAAGATAGGTATGCGCAAGTTATTTAATTTGAGAACCTCTTTTATTTCATCCTTAAAATGGAGATAACAATGCTTGTCTCATGGAATTGTAAGGACTAGGTGAAATAATACAAATGAAAGTGAATAGTGCATATAGTAGGTGCTCAGTAAAAGTGAGGGCCCTTTCCTTGGTTCATAGGTGAGGAAAGTGAAGCTCAGTATAAAAGTGGCCTATCTAAGATCCTTTAGTAATGTCATAGCAGACTGAGATTCAAAGAACATTACCTAGGACCATCCAAGTGCTAGATGTTTTTACACATTCACATCCATGGCATGTATTCTTTCCCTTTTACAGATGAAAAAACTGGAGAGAGGTTAAGTTCCTAGTAGGGAGGCTCTGTGTGACAGGAGGTACCAGGGCTGGAAAGAGAGCCCAGGCGTCTCTGACTCCAAGGCTGGACTTGTTCTGCTCCATGATTGTCTAAATCTAGCCTGACTCTCATAACCTCCTCTACTCAGATCACCTGAACACATGCTCACTGACCATTTACTCCTTTCTGGGCACTGTATCCCAGTATCACTGTATCCCTTGGGAATACAGAGATTAGTACCCTTCCAGGACCCTCTTCTACCACTCTGTTCCCTATATAGAGCTCTACCTCTCTGGGTTTTCTGTTGTCTTGGAAACCTCTTGATACATGGAGTGCTTTACTGGTTTAGGGGGTTGAATGGGTGACTTCTCATGTCAGTGTGCTTCCATTCTATGACCCCAAGGGAAGCTGAAAGTTTCCAATATGCAGGGCTGGCTTTTCCTGGGTACGAACACACATAATATGGTCCATAAACATCACAGACAATTACAAAGTGAAGGAAGTGGACTGAGTTCCCTTGGACATCTGGGTGATCAGTGTGCTCCAAATCCTGAAATGATTCTTCTGGCATTCTCCTGACAGCCCTGCTTTTGGAGAGCAGAGACCTGGCTTTGTACTAGACTCCATTTGGCCCTTTTCATGAAAACTAGCCTTTAAAAAAATTAAAATCTCCAGGTAAACACCATTTTCTTTGAGAGACAGTGCTCAAGAAGATTAACTGTCTTTAAAAGAGTGTCTCAGTAAATCCCCACCCCTTGAAGAAGAAGCTGGTGCTATTACACTGTCTGATGCAGTTTCCAAACAACCTCCATCTGTAGTTGTTTTATACCAAGACAAGTGCAATATGGCAGCAGCCTTGCAGGAGGGCAGAGTTGGTGGTCAGGCACAGCATATACTCTATTTCCTTACAAATAAAGATAATGAAGTTCAGAGAAATGAAGTGATATTTCAGCTTCTGTGTTGCAGAGCCAGGATTCAAACTTAAAACTTCCTGGCTCCAAAGCCCTCATTTGTTAGGCTGCCCCTCCAATTCTTCCTTAGGGGTCACAGCAGGGCTTTTTTTTTTTTTTTTTTGTCTTTATATAAAAACATTTCCATCTTTAGAAAAATCTTGACAGTTGCCACCATCAAGTCAGCTCTGACTCATGGTGACTCCATGTGTGTCAGGGTAGAGCTGTACTTCATAGGGTTTTCAATGTCTGGTGTTTTGAAAGTAGATCTCCAGGTCTCTCTTCCAAGGCACCTCTGCATAGACTCAAACCTCCAGTCTTTTGGTGAGCAGTCTAGTATGTTCACTGTTCGCACCACTCAGAAAACCCTTTATAATCAGATTGTTGCAATCCTGGAAGGCTAGTGGCTCTCTAATTCAATTTCCCAACCACAGCAGGGATGTCTAACTTCACTGACAGACACACTTATTGAGGTGTTTTGTTAAAATCTCTCCAGTGATGAGGGAACTCACCACGTCTTGGGGCTATGCATTCACCATGGGACAACTCTAATCATTTAAAGTTCCTCTTATACTAAGCACAGATTTGCCCCTTTGGAACTTCTACTGTTGTTCCCAGCTCTGTCCTCAGGGGTTGGTTCCCCTGTCTCCAGACAGATCAGCAGAGATTGTGGTTAGAGATGTACCAGCTCCCTAACTGTGCTTCAGTTGGGAGCATATTCCCCCAGCTCTATTACCCACATGTTCAATGACCCCACTTTGTGGTCCCTTTCTATCCAGGTGTCCATAGATACCTTTTTTAAATGTGGGGTTCCAACCTGTGCACAGGTATTCCAGATAACAGCCCTATAAACAGTAAGTTTATCTCAAAAGAGAAAACAGTGTTTAAGTAAAGTACTTAAAAGATTTAAGAGTACTACATGTTTAATGTAGAAAGGATAGTACAAACCAAAAGTAAAAGGAGTCATGGATAATCAAGGTCTTAGTTTGGATTCCCCAGAAGACCTGGAGATGTCAATTTGAGGGTGAGTTGTTCATATGGAAGATAATCCCAGAAAACACTGGTAGGTGTGGGAAAGTGAGACAGGGAAGGGAAAGAAGTGTAGCAATAAGGGATATGTTACCAGGTAAGTCACCACTGTGGGTAACAAGCTCTTAAATTCGATGAACTCTGCCAGCCAGGGCAGACCATGCCCCTCACAGTTATCCCAGCTAAGGGTGAGGAAGCTGGGGTATTTGCATACCAGCTTCTGTCAGTTATTGGTTATGGGTTGCTGGGGGAAGGGAAGCATTAATTTTCCGGCACTGTGTGGCACAGTGCCTAAGGCATTTGGCTGCTAACCAGAAGGTTGGCAGTCCAAACCCATCAGCCGCTCCGTGGAAGGCAGATGGGGCAACCTACATCCGCAAAGGTTTATGCCTCGGAAACCCAATCAACTTGATAGCAGTGAGGGTTTTTTTTTTTTTTGGATACTATTGTATTTCAGGGGTGTCCTGCAATTTATTTAACCACAGGAAGGTAGATTCCAATTCCCTAAGATGTTTAGTGGAAATTAGCTATCAGCTAATTCTGTGTAAGTAGCAATGGCAGGTGTCTGGGGCTGGAGTATGGGAAGAGACAGAAAAGCTGAGGAAGCAGTGGTAGTCAGGGAGGGCACATAGACAAAGCCTGTTTTGTTGTTAAGTGCCATCAGGTTGGTTCTGACTCATAGTGACCCTGTGTATGACAGAACAGAACATTGCTTGGGCCTGCACCATCCTCACAGTTATCACTATGCTTGAGCCCATTTTTGCAGCCACTGTGTCAATCAGGCTGCTTCACCAAGTGGAAAGTACTAAAGGCCTTCAATAAAGTGTACTGGCAGGCTGGTCTGGCATAGGAGGGGAGAGAAAGATCACCAAGGAAGCATCATCATGAAGGACATCTGAGATGGGCCTTCTAGTTAGGTAAAATTCAGATATGGAGAGGTGATGGGGAAGGATCATGTGGAACAGGAAAGACCATGGCTCCAAATGAGTCAGGAGGCAATTGTCTAGAGACCAGTGACCAAGGCCTGAGTTGGGAAAGAAGCAGTGAAGTTGGAGGGTGGTGAAGGAGGTGTTTCAGACACAGAGCTGACAGGGTGTGATAACCCACTAAAGGTTGGGTCAGAGATTACTGTGAGGCTAGAAGGACAGCTGGTTTTTATCACAGGTCTACTATGGTCTTGATTAAACAAAACAACAACAACAAAAACAAAACAAAACAAAAACAGCAGTGGGAGATCATCTCCAGCTCTCTGCGATGGGAACAGAGAGGGAAAGACAGAGGGAAGAAGGTAAGGAACCCACGTATGGAGTCCCTACTACATTGTGGGCTGTGAGTGATGTCATGGTATGTATGTGGTAAGTGCTTGGCACATAGCTGGTGCTCTTTCCCATGCTTAGGCACAGAAAGCCTATTCAAAACAGTAAAAACCAGTTGCTGTTGAGTCCGTTGTGATTCATGGCAACCCCACATTTATCAGAGTAGAACTGTGCTCCTCAGCATTTTTAATAGCTGAATTTTTGAAAGTAGATTGCCAGGCCTTCCTTCTGAGGAACCTCTGGGTGGACTCAACCCTCTAACCTTTCAGTTAGCAGGTTAACCCTTTGCACTACCAAGGGACTCCTCAAGACAGATAAGGACATAACAGAAGTCAAAGCCAGTTCATTTCTACAGCACCTGTAATATGTCTAGTGCACCATATTGCCTCCCAAGTCCCTTCCTGACACTCAGCTCTGGTATGATCTTATCTCCCCAGTATTGGCGCTCTGGTGGGCCTATCCATAGCAGCGGTAGTCCTCTTGGCCTTCATTGTCACTGCTTGTGTGCTTTGTTACCTGTTCATCAACTCCAAACCCCACACAAAGCTGGACCCGGGCTTAAGCTTGCAGGCTACAGGTAAGTAAGTGGCTAATTGGTTTCCTTGGTGTATTCAGCAGGCTAGCACTTTTACAGAGGGGAGATATTTAGAAATAATATTCAAAACATTTGCCTGACGAGTGTTCCTGGAATATTCAGAAGCAGCAGCATATTTCTCAGGAGGTTCATGGTCTTCAAACTCTTCGTGTGCTCAGTGTTTGCTGAAATAATTTGCTCTGCTCAGCACTCCATTCGTCACACAAGGATTAATCCATGTTGTGGGTTTTCTAAAACAATATTGTAAAATTCTAGCCTGGTGAGTACTTAGGGGATACAAACTGTTTCTAACATTACCCCAAACAATATAGAATTAAAAAGAAAATATGCTGTTCCCCAAATTCACAATTAATTCAGAAACTGAATACATACATTTTTTTGATAGTGTGATGTTTTGACTACCCATTCCTTCATTAGCATAGGCCATCAAGAGCCTCTGTTGTTAGGTGGCATCAAGTAGATTTTGACTCATAGCAAGTCCTTGTGACAGAGTAGAACAGAACTTCCCTATGGGGTTTTCTAGGCTATAATCTTATGGGAACAGATGGTCAGGTCTTTCTCCCATAGAGCCATTAGGTGGATTTGAACTGCCAGCCTTTTAGTTAGCTTAACCATTCCACCACCAGGGCTCCTTCAAGAGTCTCTAAGGGGCCACAAAACAAAAGCAAAAACATGGTGCTTTGCCATGAATCTTTATTACACACTTACCATTTTTATATCCTCTTGTAAAGATACAAGGCCTTATTAGCAAAGAATCTTTCCATATAGTTTGGTAGACAGGACTCAAAACAGGTTTTATTATATCCATTTTACAGATGAGAAAAATCAAGGCTGAGAGAAGTTAGGTGGCTTGCTCAAGGTATCACAGCTAATAAGTAGTGGGACTGGAATTTAGCCCATGCCTTTTTGCTTTGAGTCATACTCTTTTCTCTGCCCACCGTACTGGTCTGTGCAGTATATAATTAAGCAAACATCATTTCATATCAAATGGAAAGAGAGTTTTAAAAAGGAAGGGTCATTGAATTGTACAATAAAAAATGTTGAAATGGCAAATGCTTTGTTATACAGTTTTTCACTACTATTGAAGAAAAGTAGGGACTTATTAGTGTCGGCTTATTGAAGGAGTGGGTTAGGCAAAATGGAAGAGAAAAGGCATCCAAGGAAAGGGTTAATATTGGGTAAAGGTGTGTAAGCAGGACTGAGTGAGACTTATGCAGGGACAGGGTCATTCACTCTGGGCCATCATAGGAAATAAAGCCAGGCAGGATTGGGGAGGGACTTTACACTAAACAAGGAGGGCAACTATCAGGCAGGTTGAAGGGGCAGGGTGTATAAGCCTTAAAGAGGAAAGAGAGGGTTGAATGCTAAGACAGTTGGAGTTGGGGACTGTCAGCTACTCTGATGGGACCAACAGCCTGAATATTTCCAAGTTGTGTTGGGACCTGACAGTTGACCAAAGGATCAGCCCTGGTCACCAAAGGCTGCAGGGATGACTGCGCTGGTAGCCTATGACTAGGAAGGGAAACAGGAAGGAGGAAGACAACCTGAGCTCTTGACTTTCTGCTGTCCGGAGGGTGCGTTGTTTACATGTTGCAGTCATTTTGGATATTTAAAGTGACCAAGGGTGCAGTCATTTTGAATGTTTACAAGTGGTGGCCATTTTAGATATTTAAAGTGACTGAGGGCACAGACATTTTGAATCTTACAAGTGGCAACCATTTTGGATTTTAAAGTGACAGCATTCTCATTTGGATTCCAGGGACCTAAGAATAGACTGTTTACCAAGGTCAGCAGGGATGTACGAGAGGCTGACAACAGGACAGGAGACAGGTGGTGAGTGTATAAGTGCTGCCAACTAGTGAATAGAGGAGCACAACACAGTATCCTGCTTGTGTAGATAACATACAATCACCAATTAAATATAAACACAAAAGCATCACAATGCTTCAGAGACAACAGAGCATCACAGTCAACAAAAAGAAGCAAGATAAAGCAGGAGAAACAAGGGACCAGGATATAGACCCAAAGCACATCCCCAAGGAAGATGCAGCATTGGAACTCCCTGGTAAGGAGATCAAAAGAATTATATTTAGATATCTTCAAAGGATTGAGAGACAGATCAAGGAAAACCTTAGAACAATTTTGAAAGACTATACAAGGACAAAATGCCAAAATAAATTAAAAACTAGAAATGAAACAAAATCTACACACAGAAATCCACAAGATTAATACTAAATTTTCAGAAATAGATAAGACATCAAATGGGCAGAGGAGCAGAACTGAATCAATAGAAGACAGAATTAGAGAGATTGAAGGCAAACACCTGAACAATTCTTTGGAAAGGGATAAATTAAAAAAAGATTGAACAAAATGAAGAAAGGCTAATGTTCATATGGGAAACCATCAAAAGGAATAACCTACGTGTAATTGGAATTCCAGAACAGGAAAAGACAAATAAAACCACAGAGAAAATTGCCGAAGATCCGTTGGAAGAGAATTTTCCTGGTATGATGAAAGATGAAAATATACCCATTCAGGAAATCCCACGAACCCCAAACAGGATAGACCCCAAAAGAAAATCACTGAGACATATCATCATCAAACTCACCAAAACCCAAGATAAAGAAAGAATTATGAGAGCAGCACAGGAAAAACAAAAAGTTACCTACAAGGGGCAACCAATAAGAATAAGCTCGGATTTCTTGACAGAAACCATGCAGTTGAGAAGACAATAATGGATGGTATATATAAAACCCTGAAAGAGAAAAATTTCCAGCCAATAATTATGTACTCAGCAAAATTGTCCCTCAAATATGATGGTGAAATTAGGACATTTGCAGATAAGCAGAAATTAAGAGAATTTGTTAAAACCAGACCAACCTTACAAGAGATACTAAAGGGAGTTCTTCGGACAGAGAAGCAAAAATAGCCAACAACAACTGACCATTAACATACATGATGATATAATCCAGAAACCAACCCAGCTATGGAAGTATCCAAAGTAAATAAGATTGTAAACAGGAAACCAGAGATATCATTTGATAAACGAAGACAACTACAAACCAAAAAGAGGGAAAAAACTGTGCTGTTACAGAGCTTCTAGATGGTAGGGAAGTCAAGACAACCGCAAAATAGAACAGACTGCTCTAAACTTGGGAAGAAAACTATAAATAACAGCGTAACCTCAAAGAAAAATGATAAACTTTCACATCAAAATAAAAAAGAGGGCCAGCACAAATATTTAGCAAATACTAAAACAATAGCAATGAAGGAAGTGATAACACGATTCATAAACAAAATGAGCTCAGCACAGAAAATCTCTGGGACACTCAAGTTGGACTGAGTGTGAGGAGCCTTGAATGTCAAGCGAGAAAACAGTACTCTGTTCCATGGTGTGATGCAATGATTTACTGACTATGGTCTTTCTAGACATAATGAGTTCTGGCAGTACAGTGGTTAAAGCATTTGACTGCTAATCAAGAGGTCAGTGGTTTGTACCCTCCAGTCACTCCAAAGGGGAAAAGATGAGGCAGTCTGCTTCCATAAAGATTTACAGCTTTGGAAACTCAATGGGGCAGTTCTACTCTTTCCTATAGGGTCACTATGAATTGGAATTGACTCGATGACAGTGGTTTTTTTTGGGGGGGTAGGTAGCCATAGTCTTTGTAACTCCCACCAAATGAGTGGGTGGGACTACGCAAATGAAGTCCTTGTGGCCCAGTAATGATGTAAATAGCTTGCTAATAATGCATGGCACCCTTGTGGGTGTGGCATTGTTGTTAGGTGCTGTCAAGTTGGTTCCAACTCATAACAACCCTTTGTACAACAGAATGAAACACTGTCCGAACCTGTGCCATCATCTCAGTTGTTGCTATGCTTGAGCCTATCATTGCAGCCACTCTGTCAATCCATCTGATTGAAGGCCTTCCCATTTTTCATTGACCCTTTACTTTACCGAGCATGATATCCTTCCCAGGGACTGATCCCTTCTGATAACCTGACCAAAGTACGAGAGGTGAAGCCTGGACATTCTCACTTCTAAGGAGCATTGTGGCTGTACTTCTAAGACAGAGTCATTTGTTCTTCTGGCAGCCCATAGTATTTTCAAGATGTGGTGGTGGGACCATGCAAATAAGGTGTACAGAACCCTAACATGGGGATTGGTCAGTATGGCCATCCACTAGACTTAAAATGAGCCATCCCAGAGGCAGAAAGGAGGATCTCATTACCATCAAGAAATAAGAGCTGGGAGTGGAGTGCATTTGGACCCGGGACCTCTGCACTGAAAACCTCCTAGATCCAGGAGACAGACAGAGTTGTCACATGGGAAACATGAGATGGTGAGACCTAGTGGGAAAAGAATGACAGCAGTAGAACCAGCAGACCAGCAGGAGACAGTGTGGTGAGCTTCCTGGCCCACAGAGCTAGAGCTGAGTGCCTTCAAGCCAAGGCTTCCTGGCAGAGTGGTGTGCCTCTGGGCACTTATCAGACAAGCCAAAAGAGCTTTATAACACTTGCCTGAGCTGAGCAGGGGCCAGGCCGAGAGGCTGAGGGCCAGAGAGAAGCCTACCTGCAACACAGCTGAGGAGAGGCTGTCTTGATCAAAGAACTATATCTTGAGTAGTTTCTGATCCTGAATTGTAACCTGATATTTCCCTAATAAACCCCATAATCATGGAAAAAAAAAAAAAAGCAAAAAGAATCCTTCTCAGATCCTGGTGATTATAAATACTTCTGCTATGGCTGAGCAGTGGAAAGCAGGAGGGATGGCTTTTGAGAGAAAGATGGTTCATGCTTTCCTTGAAGTCAGGCATGGTGTCAGGGGAATAGGAAAAAAAAAGCCTGAGCATAGACCCAGCCTGAGTTGACCCAGTCTTCAACTTGTGTAGAGAAAGATCACAGGATTATTGATTTTACATAGGTTTATTGATAGGCCATTGAGAACCTCATATTCTTGAAATAAAACTCATGCTGCTTTAGTA